ATTGAAGTTAGGACACTACTTCCCTGTCGTTCAGGAGGAGGTCACTGAATTTTCATTGAGTGATGGGCTGGGGTAGGTAAGGGATAGTAATGGCAAGAGACAGGGGTGCATAATCCAACCATGTGATCGGTACGTAGCAACAGGCTTTGATTAGATGCAAGAACCTGTGCACCATAAATAATATGTCAATGCGTGTATATGAATCAGTTGGAGGTAAATAAAATTAATAGTCTTTTGCAGTGGGGTGCAGAAACCTCCAGCTGTCGTAGTGTTGGCTATGTGTAGTAATGACTGGAGTTGTTTATGTGTTGGAACTAGATAATATCTAGATGTGGAGGATGTGTCAGGTTCATTGTCTAATGTAATGTTAAAGTCCCTGCCCAGGGAATAGTTCAAGTTTGTGGAGTATTTTACAGTAGATGAGAACACCATTGGCAGTTGTGGGGAAGTTTGAACCGCCAGTCAGGGCAGTAAAAAATCCTGTCTAGGTGCCAGTGACTGGTACATTTTTAAGGGTGGAATATAATGTTGGACCAGGTGGTCTTAAATCCTCCATGTATCTAGTTGCTGTTTAAACATCTGTACGGACTCTGATAAAATCACTTCTTCAGGCAGAGAATTCCACATCCTTATTGTTCTTACAGTAAATTAACCTTTCCTTTGCCTTAGACTAAATCTTCTTTCTTCTCATGTCCTATATAAAGTCTGGTTTGAGAATAGATTTCCACACAATGGTTTGTATTGGCCCCGGATATATTTGTATAATATTATCATATCCCCTCATTGTCACAAAAATGAGCATAAAAACAACAAATATTACTATGCAAACAACCTGTGTGGAGATTTTTGGGTCAGGTAGGGTTGCATTATATCCTTGGCCAGAGCAGGTGACGGAGTGGTATTATTTTAGTTGAGGCCCAGAATAAAGTAGACATTTTGGCAGGAGGTGCAATGTCTCAGTCCTCGGTGAGCAATACATTCATTACATGAATCCTATATGGTTAGTGGGACTCTAGAGAGGTATAAGTCCCAATAAGGAGAGGGGTAGTGATGCACCGAACGGTTCGCTGGCGAATAGTTCCTGGCGAACATACAGGGAGTGCAGAATTATTAGGCAAGTTGTATTTTTGAGGATTAATTTTATTATTGAACAACAACCATGTTCTCAATGAACCCAAAAAACTCATTAATATCAAAGCTGAATATTTTTGGAAGTAGTTTTTAGTTAGTTTTTAGTTATAGCTATGTTAGGGGGATATCTGTGTGTGCAGGTGACTATTACTGTGCATAATTATTAGGCAACTTAACAAAAAACAAATATATACCCATTTCAATTATTTATTATTACCAGTGAAACCAATATAACATCTCAACATTCACAAATATACATTTCTGACATTCAAAAACAAAACAAAAACAAATCAGTGACCAATATAGCCACCTTTCTTTGCAAGGACACTCAAAAGCCTGCCATCCATGGATTCTGTCAGTGTTTTGATCTGTTCACCATCAACATTGCGTGCAGCAGCAACCACAGCCTCCCAGACACTGTTCAGAGAGGTGTACTGTTTTCCCTCCTTGTAAATCTCACATTTGATGATGGACCACAGGTTCTCAATGGGGTTCAGATCAGGTGAACAAGGAAGCCATGTCATTAGATTTTCTTCTTTTATACCCTTTCTTGCCAGCCACGCTGTGGAGTACTTGGACGCGTGTGATGGAGCATTGTCCTGCATGAAAATCATGTTTTTCTTGAAGGATGCAGACTTCTTCCTGTACCACTGCTTGAAGAAGGTGTCTTCCAGGAACTGGCAGTAGGACTGGGAGTTGAGCTTGACTCCATCCTCAACCTGAAAAGGCCCCACAAGCTCATCTTTGATGATACCAGCCCAAATCAGTACTCCACCTCCACCTTGCTGGCGTCTGAGTCGGACTGGAGCTCTCTGCCCTTTACTAATCCAGCCACGGGCCCATCCATCTGGCCCATCAAGACTCACTCTCATTTCATCAGTCCATAAAACCTTAGAAAAATCAGTCTTGAGATATTTCTTGGCCCAGTCTTGACGTTTCAGCTTGTGTATCTTGTTCAGTGGTGGTCGTCTTTCAGCCTTTCTTACCTTGGCCATGTCTCTGAGTATTGCACAACTTGTGCTTTTGGGCACTCCAGTGATGTTGCAGCTCTGAAATATGGCCAAACTGGTGGCAAGTGGCATCGTGGCAGCTGCACGCTTGACTTTTCTCAGTTCATGGGCAGTTATTTTGCGTCTTGGTTTTTCCACACGCTTCTTGCGACCCTGTTGACTATTTTGAATGAAACGCTTGATTGTTCGATGATCACGCTTCAGAAGCTTTGCAATTTTAAGAGTGCTGCATCCCTCTGCAAGATATCTCACTATTTTTGACTTTTCTGAGCCTGTCAAGTCCTTCTTTTGACCCATTTTGCCAAAGGAAAGGAAGTTGCCTAATAATTATGCACACCTGATATAGGGTGTTGATGTCATTAGACCACACCCCTTCTCATTACAGAGATGCACATCACCTAATATGCTTAATTGGTAGTAGGCTTTCGAGCCTATACAGCTTGGAGTAAGACAACATGCATAAAGAGGATGATGTGGTCAAAATACTCATTTGCCTAATAATTCTGCACTCCCTGAAGCATGTTCGCGTTCACCACGGCCGGGCGAACATATGCGCGGTTCGATCCGCCCCCTATTCGTCATCATTGAGTAAACTTTTGACCCTGTACCTCACAGTCAGCAGACACATTCCAGCCAATTAGCAGCACACCCTCCCTAGCAGACCCTCCCACCTACTGGAAGGCATCCATTTTACATTCATTCTCAAGCTGCATGCTTAGTGAGAGGAGGGAAAGTGTAGCTGCTGTTCATGAGATAGGGAAATGCATAGCTAGGTTAGGGTATACAGTGTCCACTACAGTCCTGAAGGACTCATCTGATCTCTGCTGTAAGGACAGCACCCCAAAAAGCCCTTTTTAGGGCTAGAACATCAGGCTTTTTTTTTTTCTGTGTAATGTAATTGCAGTTGCCTGCCTGCCAGCTTCTGTGTCAGGCTCACAGTGGATACTGTGCCCAGTGCCACCACTCACTCACTGGTGTCACAATAGCTTGCATTTAAAAAAAATTAAATATTTTTCACTATAATAGATTGAATAGCAGTTAGTTGTCTGCCAGCTTCTGTGTCAGGCTCACAGTGGATACTGTGCCCAGTGCCACCACTCACTCACTGGTGTCACAATAGCTTGCATTTAAAAACAAAAAACTTTTTTCACTGTTATAGATTGAATAGCAGTTAGTTGTCTGCAAGCGTCTGTGTGTCAGGCTCACAGTGGATACTGTGCCCAGTGCCACCACTCACTCATCTGGTGTCACAACAGCTTGCATTTAAAAACAAAAAACTTTTTTCACTGTTATAGATTGAATAGCAGTCAGTGTCCTTAAAGCGGGTGTGTCAGGCTCACAGTGGATACTGTGCCCAGTGCCACCACTCACTCACTGGTGTCACAATAGCTTGCATTTAAAAACAAAAAACTTTTTTCACTGTTATAGACTGAATAGCAGTTAGTTGTCTCAAAGCGGGTGTGTCAGCCCTACAGCGTGTACTCTGCCAGTTTACAGTGCCACTCATATCTGGTGTCATAATAGCTTGCATTTAAAAACAAAAAACTTTTTTCACTGTTATAGATTGAATAGCAGTTAGTTGTCTGCCAGCGGGTGTGTCAGGCTCACAGTGGATACTGTGCCCAGTGCCACCACTCACTCACTGGTACCCGGACTAAATTTCTTTTCACAAAAGGCAATCCCCAACCTGTACTCGATTGTGCAAAAGGAAATAATGGCATGTCTGGCACACAGTGTTGGGGCAAGGGTCCATCTGACCACTGATACCTGGTCTGCAAAGCATGGTCAGGGCAGGTATATCACCTACACTGCGCATTGGGCAAACCTGCTGACGGCTGCCAAGCATGGAATGCGTGGCTCTGCAGAGGAGTTGGTGACACCGCCATGACTTGCAGGCAGGCCTGCTGCCACCTCCTCTACTCCTCCTACTCCATCCTCTTCCATAACCTCCTCGGCTGAGTCCTCTTCTGCTGCTGCGTCTTGGTACTAGTTTCGGTACTAGTACTACCGGGGAGGCCCAGGGGCTGTCAGAGTGTTCAATCACCCCTAACTGCATAATTTCCTGCATTATTTCCGTATATTTTCTTTAACTGCTTCGGGTATGCGATCGACGGTTTGGCGAAGGGGGGTCTGGTCTAGGGTTTCAACTTTGTGAGTGGTTAACGGACTGTACCCAGGTAGGTTGGAAAACGTGGCCCCCTTGTCCTGGATTAGTCTTTGGACCTGGGTTCGCTCCTGGGGGTCTAACCGTTCTCCTAACTGTACTTCTCCCAGGTCTCCGCTCTGGCCCTCTAGGTCTAGGAGATCTGGGAGTGGCAAATTATCATAATCTTCAGTGGCAGGTGCACAGATCGCGGTTACCTCTTCCGTGCGCTCGTGGTATGGCTTGAGCATGTTCACATGGAGCATGCGCTTGCCTCCCGTGCCTGTGACCGCACCGATCACAAAGGTGGTATCACAAACCTGCTCTTCCACCTTGTATGGGCCCTGCCAGGAAGCCTGCAGCTTGTCCTTGTGGACAGTGTCAATCCATATCTGCCAAGTGACCCTATGTAGGGGGAACAGTCTCTATTCTGCTCTGTGTCAGTGTGTATCATGGTCTCTGAGGACAGGTGTCAATCCATATCTGCCAAGTGACCCTATGTAGGGGGAACAGTCTCTATTCTGCTCTCTGTCAGTGTGTATCTTGGTCTCTGAGGACAGGTGTCAATCCATATCTGCCAAGTGACCCTATGTAGGGGGAACAGTCCCTATTCTGCTCTGTGTCAGTGTGTATCAGGGATCCTTAGGACAGGTGTCAATCCATATCTGCCAAGTCACCCTAGGGGGAACAGTCCCTATTCTGCTCTGTTTCAGTGTGTATCAGGGATCCTTAGGATAGGTGTCAATCCATATCTGCCAAGTGACCCTATGTAGGGGGAACAGTCCCTATTCTGCTCTGTGTCAGTGTGTATCAGGGGCTCTGAGGACAGGTGTCAATCCATATCTGCCAAGTGACCCTATGTAGGGGGAACAGTCTCTATTCTGCTCTCTGTCAGTGTGTATCATGGTCTCTGAGGACAGGTGTCAATCCATATCTACCAAGTACCCCTATGTAGGGGGAACAGTCTCTATTTTGCTCTCTGTCAGTGTGTATCATGGTCTCTGAGGACAGGTGTCAATCCATATCTGCCAAGTGACCCTATGTAGGGGAACAGTCTCTATTCTGCTCTGTGTCAGTGTGTATCATGATCTCTGAGGACAGGTGTCAATCCATATCTGCCAAGTGACCCTATGTAGGGGAACAGTCTCTATTCTGCTCTGTGTCAGTGTGTGTATCATGGTCTCTGAGGACAGGTGTCAATCCATATCTGCCAAGTTACCCTATGTAGGGGAACAGTCTCTATTCTGCTCTCTGTCAGTGTGTATCATGGTCTCTGAGGGCAGGTGTCAATCCATATCTGCCAAGTGACCCTATGTAGGGGGAACAGTCCCTATTCTGCTCTGTGTCATTGTTTATCAGGGATCCTTAGGATAGGTGTCAATCCATATCTGCCAAGTCACCCTATGTAGGGGGAACAGTCCCTATTCTGCTCTGTGTCAGTGTGTATCAGGGATCCTTAGGATAGGTGTCAATCCATATCTGCCAAGTGACCATATGTAGGGGGAACAGTCCCTATTCTGCTCTGTGTCAGTGTGTATCAGGGGCTCTGAGGACAGGTGTCAATCCATATCTGCCAAGTGACCCTATGTAGGGGGAACAGTCTCTATTCTGCTCTGTGTCAGTGTGTATCATGGTCTCTGAGGACAGGTGTCAATCCATATCTGCCAAGTGACCCTATGTAGGGGAACAGTCCCTATTCTGCTCTGTGTCAGTGTTTATCAGGGATCCTTAGGATAGGTGTCAATCCATATCTGCCAAGTCACCCTATGTAGGGGAAACAGTCCCTATTCTGCTCTGTGTCAGTGTGTATCAGGGATCCATATGATAGGTGTCAATCCATATCTGCCAAGTGACCCTATGTAGGGGGAACAGTCCCTACTCTGCTCTGTGTCAGTGTGTATCATGGTCTCTGAGGACAGGTGTCAATCCATATCTGCCAAGTGACCCTATGTAGGGGAACAGCCTCTATTCTGCTCTGTGTCAGTGTGTATCATGAGCTCTGAGGACAGGTGTCAATCCATATCTGCCAAGTGACCCTATGTAGGAGAACAGTCTCTATTCTGCTCTGTGTCAGTGTGTATCAGGGGCTCTGAGGACAGGTGTCAATCCATATCTGCCAAGTGACCCCATGTAGGGGGAACAGTCTCTATTCTGCTCTGTGTCAGTGTGTATCATGGTCTCTGAGGACCGGTGTCAATCCATGTCTGCCAAGTGACCCTATGTAGGAGGAACAGTCTCTATTCTGCTCTGTGTCAGTGTGTATCAGGGGCTCTGAGGACAGGTGTCAATCCATATCTGCTAAGTGACCCTATGTAGGAGAACAGTCTCTATTCTGCTCTGTGTCAGTGTGTATCAGGGGCTCTGAGGACAGGTGTCAATCCATATCTGCCAAGTGACCCTACGTAGGAGAACAGTCTCTATTCTGCTCTGTGTCAGTGTGTATCATGGTCTCTGAGGACAGGTGTCAATCCATATCTGCCAAGTGACCCTATGTAGGAGGAACAGTCTCTATTCTGCTCTGTGTCAGTGTGTATCAGGGACTCTGAGGACAGGTGTCAATCCATATCTGCCAAGTGACCCTATGTAGGGGGAACAGTCTCTATTCTGCTCTGTGTCAGTGTGTATCATGGTCTCTGAGGACAGGTGTCAATCCATATCTGCCAAGTGACCCTATGTAGGAGGAACTGTCTCTATTCTGCTCTGTGTCAGTGTGTATCAGGGGCTGTGAGGACAGGTTTCAATCCATATCTGCCAAGTGACCCTATGTAGGGGAACAGTCTCTATTCTGCTCTGTGTCAGTGTGTATCATGGTCAGTGTGTTTGTCTATTTGTATGTGTGTTAGTGTATTAACCTGTGTGTCCGTGTTTGTCACCTCCCCCACACACACACACTGTCACCCATCCACACACAACATCACTCCCTTAACACTCAACATTCACAATAACTTCACCAATCCTGTCACTCACCAACATGGGAGGTGTGAATAAGACACATTAAGAGGCTGCGGGAATAAATGTAACATATAAAGGGGCGAGGAGGGGGGAGATGCCCTAGGGTGATTTTTGGCCCTGTGGTTTCTAGTTATGCCTCTGGGTGTGTTATTAAAGTTCCCCAAAATGAGATTGATAAGCTCAGACAATACTGAAGATAGATACTCTTTGATATGGATATCGGACAGTAGTCATTTCACAGGATACACTCATGTAAAACCAATTCTACATGAACAATACATTTCTTACAGAAAACACTCAGCAACAGCAAATGTTTGTATATTATTAGTAGTCACAATATATAATTACTTACAGTTTACAGTCAGTGTGTAGATGTCACTTTTGATCTTATTGATAACATTCTCAGCCTCACAATAATAATCTCCTGAGTCTACGCGTTTGATACTGGAGAAGGTGAGAGTCCTGTTATCATTGGATAGGGTTATAGCAGAGGGGAGTCTGCCATTACTGTGGCCCCACGCGATCCTTTCAGCATTTTCAGTCTCACACGTGAGGGTGGCAGTGTCATTTTCCTTGACCAGAGGTTTAGTGACAGGAACATTTGCCCTGATTACAGGTTTAGTGACAGGAACTGTGGGTGAAGGAACAACACAGGAGTTAAGTCTTCTAGTCTTAAAGCATTACAATATAGTGATCCAAAGTAACAGCTCACATTATGAGATGATTCTTTATGTGAACATTTTTTTTGTGAACTTTTTTTCTGTAAGATACAAACAAATATCATACTCTTTTTATTTATACATTTCTGTAACCCTTGGAAAATAGCAACCAATAGCAAATCAACAATAAGGCTGCATTATGATCAGTGGCGTACATACCGGGGTCGCCGAGGCTGACCCTGGTGTCACTGGGCGGCCGGACCTGCGGGCGCGCGAGGGAGCACACTTCCCTGAGCGCTCTCTGCCCAGCTCCCTCATGCGCACCACACTGATGCCTGAGCCAGAATATGACATCATATTCCGGCTCCGGCATCAGTAAGCGGCGCGCGAGGGAGCTGAACAGGAGGATCTCAGTGCTCCCTCGCGTGCCCACAAAGCCGACCACCTAGCAACACCGCTGGACCCCAGGGAATCCCCTCAGCACTCCCAAAGGTAGGGAGGCTGGGGGATCACATTTTTAAAAAAAAAAACATGTGTATGTGTGTTAGTGTTAGAGTTTGTGTCTCCTAGTGAGTGTCAGTAAGTGTGTTAGTTTGTGTGTGTGTGTGTGTGTGTGTGTGTTAGTTTGTGTGTGTCTGTTATTGAGTGTGTGTCTGCTAGTGAGTGTCAGTGTGTGTGTTAGTTTGTGTGTCAGTTAGTGTGTGTCAGTGAGTGTGTTACTGTGTATGTCTGTTACTGACTGTGTTAGTTTGTGTGTGTCTGTTAGTGAGTCTGTTTGATTCTGTTAGTGAGTGTGTGTTTGTCAGTGAGAGTGTGTTTTGTAAGTGAGTGTGTATGTGTGTCTGTCTGTCAGTGATTGTGTGTGTATGTATGTCGCTGAGTGTGTCTCTGTCAGTAAATATGTGTGTCTGTTACCTAGTGTGTATTCATCTGTTCATGAGAGTGTGTGTGTTTAAAATCCCTTCAGCACTTAGCTTTCTCCAGTGCCGGACTCCCTTGGCGCTGGGGATCCCTCCGCCCCGATCCGCCTCTCAGCTCCGAATGTGCATATGCGGCAAGAGCCGCGTGCCCATTCAAACCGCCCATAGGAAAGCATTACTCAATGCTTTCCTATGAATGTCCAGTGTCTTCTCACTGTGATTTTCACAGTGAGAATCACAGAAGCGCCTCTAGCGGCTGTCAGTGAGACAGCCACTAGAGGCTGGATTAACCCTCAGTGAAACATAGCAGTTTCTCTGAAACTGCTATGTTTTCAGCTGCAGGGTTAAAACTAGAGGGACCTGGCACCCAGACCACTTCATTGAGCTGATGTGATCTGAGTGTCTGTAGTGGTCCTTTGAAGGGACACTATAGTCACCTGAACAACTTTAACTTAATGAAGCAGTTTTGGTGTATAGAACATGCCCCTGCAGCCTCACTGCTCAATCCTCTGCCATTTAGGAGTTAAATCCCTTTGTTTATGAACCCTAGTCACACCTCCCTGCATGTGACTTGCACAGCCTTCCATTAACACTTCCTGTAAAGAGAGCCCTATTTAGGCTTTCTTTATTGCAAGTTCTGTTTAATTAAAATTTTCTTTTCCCCTGCTATGTTAATAGCTTGCTAGACCCTGCAAGAGCCTTCTGTATGTGATTAAAGTTCAATTTAGAGATTGAGATACAATTATTTAAGGTAAATTACATCTGTTTGAAAGTGAAACCAGTTTTTTTTTTTTTCATGCATGCTCTGTCAATCATAGCCAGGGGAGGTGTGGATATGGTTGCATAAACAGAAACAAAGTGATTTAACTCCTAAATGACAGTGAATTGAGCAGTGAAATGGCAGGGGAGTGATCTATACACTAAAACTGCTTAATTTAACTAAAGTAATTTAGGTGACTATAGTGTTCCTTTAAGTGTGTGTATCTGCATGCACTGGCTACATATCACTATCGCAGGGGTTGCAGCCCTGCGACCAGGTGCCCGCCGCCATGTGTTGTGGCCCTGACCCGTGCAGAGTAAGTGCAGGAGGGGGGGCACGGATCAATTTTCGCACCGGGGTCCCATGGGGCCACTGTTATTTACTAGATCATCAACACACCTACTTAAGCAACTTGCACACAGATACAGAGACACACATTCACACACACAAATGCTCAGGCAAACACACAGGTACACAATACAAGATACACAGACACACACAGTTAGAATTGCACATACAGACTCTCAGACACACACACAGACAGGGACGTATTAGCCGCTAGGCAAACAAGGCATTTGCCTTGGGCGGCATTTTTCAGGGGGCGTCAAAAAATACCACCCCCAAATGCCCAGGGCAAATGCCTAGTTAGCCTTGCGGCTAACAGACATGCTGGGCGCTGGGCGGCGCTGGCTGATGGTCGGGCAGGCGGCTGGCGAGGGAGCTCTTCCTCTGAGCGGTCTGCTCAGCTCCCTTGCGTGCCACAGAGTGAGGCTGGGAGCCGGAATATGACGTCATCAACCCGGCTCTCAACCTCGCCTGCGGCGTGCAAGGGAGCTGAGCAGACCGCTCAGAGGAAGAGCTCCCTCGCCAGCCGCCCGCCCACCCAGCAGCCAGCCAGCCCGCCCGCCCAGCAGCCAGCCCATCAGCCTGACCGGCAGCCACTGGACCACCGGAAGAAAGAGGAACCTCCACCCCCCCACAGCACTCCCAAAGGTAAGGAGGCTGGGGGGGGGATTAAATAAAAAATAAAAAGTGTTAATGTGAGTGATTGTGTGTGTGTGTGTGTCTGACTCTGTGTGTGTGTGTCTGACTGTGTGTGTGTGTGTGTGTGTGTGTCTGACTGTGTGTGTGTGTTTGTGTCTGACTGTGTGTGTGTGTGACTGTGTGTGTGTCTTGTGTGTGTTTGTGTCTGTGTGTGTGTGTGTGTGACTGTGTGTGTGTCTGACTGTGTGTCCGACTGACTGTGTGTGTGTCTGACTGTGTGTCTGACTGTGTGTGTTTGTGTCTGACTGGGTGTGTGTGTTTGTGTCTGACTCTGTGTGTTTGTGTCTGACTGTGTGTGTGTGTTTGACTGTGTGTGTGTGTTTGTCTGTGTGTGTGTGTGTTTGTGTCTGACTGTGTTTGTGTCTGACTGTGTGTGTCTGACTGTGTGTGTGTGTGTGTCTGACTGTGTGTGTGTGTCTGACTGTGTGTGTGTTTGTGTGTCTGTTTGTGTCTGACTGTGTTCGTGTGTGTATCTGACTGTGTGTGTATGTGTTTGTGTCTGACTGTGTGTGTGTTTATGTGTGTGTCTGACTGTGTATGTGTGTGTCTGACTGTGTATGTGTATCTGACTGTGTGTGTGTGTGTGTATTTAGAAGGTGGGGTGGGGAGGAAGGGTTGGATGGGGGTGGCACGGGGGGGCGGGGGTGCCTGAGTTTTGTCCTACCTAGGGCAGCACAAAACCAGGATACACCACTGCACACAGGTACATAATGAAAGGCAGATAAATAAATAAAAGAAAGAGACAGCGCCAATCAACCTATAAGGCAGCAACCCAAAAAAGGGAAACCCTAAAAATACAGAGTAAAAAACAGAATGTAAAAGAAGGGCTGCGCCAAGATAAAATAGATAATATCCAGTCCAAATAATGGTAAAAGTCCAACCTAAAAGTGTCCTCTCTGTCGTTCTTGGATACAGGAACAGAGTCTTCAGGTATTGAATATAAAAGATAAAAAGAGAGAAAAACCGATAGTGCAATATGTATGGTTCAAGTGGAGTAAAATAAAAGTAGCGAACTCACAATTTCTAAGAGCTTCTGTCCAGCTCTAGGGTAAAGCGCATACAGCGGTATAGTCCCCGCTTATGGGACGTGCGGTGAGTATCGATTCTTCAGTGGTATCCAGAAACTCAAAGAGAACAGAAACAAGCCAGATAGTGCTCTCTGTATGGATGTATATAGTAGGATAAGATAAAAAAACGTACTTACAAGTACAGAGCAGGCCAACTGCTCTATGGTGTCAGCGCTGGTGGAATAATCCCCACCTAGGATTTCTTTAACTGCACAGGAACTTGTGGAAATGGTGTTAAAATCAGGATAAATATTTATCAAATATATATAAAACTTGCCAGGGATCAATGTATAAATAAAGATAATGGGAACTAACAAGTAACCAAAACTTTAATATTTATTATACAAAATTATGTATCCATTAACGCGTTTCGTCATACAGACTTCTTCAAAATGGAATGCAATACAATACCTGGCAAATAGGGTTTATATAGGCATAGATCAATACAAAATTTGGCGCCAAAAAATTATTTCAGCCAATCAGAATAAAAGTACATATTTACATATCAAAATAACAATAATCAATTAAGTTAAAATAATACATTATATAATGAGGCATATTCAGTGAGTTTTTATTAAAAACGAGGATAAAATAACGGAGACAATTGGTCACGTGATTTTGCGGCATTTCCGGTTTCGAGTGGATGGCCGCAAAGCCTAATGGGTGTAGTAGTTTCCATGCGGCAAAACAAAATAATTAACGAGTGTTCAAAATACAAAAAGCCCTATAAGTGTAAGTAACTGATAGTTACGCAGATATAAATAAATAAAAGGAATGTAAAAACGAGGAGAGAATATGGGACTTCCGGGTCACGTGATGCGCGGCACTTCCGGTATCGGCAGTATAGCCGCAGGGCTTCATGGGGGGTGTAGTTCTCACATAGAAGAGCCCTCCTAGGGGGAAGAAACCAAATAAATGTGGGGCTACTAATAAAAATACCAATAAGAAGTATAATAACAAAAAACTAAAACAGATAATTAGCATAAAAAGTGATACTTCTGATTCGGGAGTATCATGGGATATGTAGTCAAAGTACAAAATAACCCAAAGGGATAAAAAACAGAGTTAACACTCGTTTGAACACTCGTTAATTATTTTGTTTTGCCGCATGGAAACTACTACACCCATGAGGCTTTGCGGCCATCCACTCGAAACCGGAAATGCTGCAAAATCACGTGACCAATTGTCTCCGTGATTTTATACTTGTTTTTATCCTCGTTTTTAATAAAAACTCACTGAATATGCCTCATTATACAATGTATTATTTTAACTTAATTGATTATTATTATTTTGATATGTAAATATGTACTTTTATTCTGATTGGCTGAAATAATTTTTTGGCGCCAAATTTTGTATTGATCTATGCCTATATAAACCCTATTTGCCAGGTATTGTATTGCATTCCATTTTGAAGAGGTCTGTATGACGAAACGCGTTAATGGATACATAATTTTGTATAATAAATATTAAAGTTTTGGTTACTTGTTAGTTCCCATTATCTTTATTTATACATT